TGTCAAATTTAACTGCTTAAATTTGCTTAAAATGAAGAAAATTGTCAAAATCGTTATTGACGCATTGAGTATTCTAGCGTCCTATCCTACTATTGTACGCGTTATTCAAATTTTGTATTATTTACATTGTTATTTAACTACCTAATGAAAATTACAAAACAAAAATAAAAGAGAAATTTTAAATGTATACAAAGTTATGATATTTGTCTCTCAAACCCCTATGTACGAAACGGCCGCTACGATTTTGCGGGTATTTCCGCGAAACTGATGAACAAATTTTTCAAACAAAGGTTAATCAGTATTCAGTTGACTATAAATCGTGTTAATGAAAATTTACAAAAAAGTTTTTATTCGATAAAAAATAAAGATCACTACAATTTTTTTAAATGAAACCATATATTTTTTTATGTGCCAATCAGTGCATATTTGAATTCTCTTCAAAAAAGTATTAGAGAACTTAGGTCGAAAATTGATTAATTTGGAAATTGTGATTTTTGTCCCGGCGCCCATATACTCGGAACACTTCGTCTCACCGAGATTCAAAGGGAATCTCCTAGTTCTTACTCATGCGCTCAGGTTGCTCGACCGTCACTTGGTGACGTAGATATTTGGCGGAAAGAGCCGAACAGGCTTCGCACACGGACAGAGCTACCGCTACACTTGTGAGAGCACAAGGCAGTATAGTGGGAGACGTCGGTAGGCATAGTGGGGGGCCCAGCGCCTACGATTCTGGCATCACTGCTTGGTGGTCCTGTAGGACAGCGTGAGAAAATTACCAGGTTATAGGCACATATTTTAATTGTTAATTACTGAAAAATGAAACCACAAATGCAATTTTTTTATTCTTCATTTTCGTTTTCTTTTGGCTTCTAGATTCACCCCTTAAAATTTCTCTCGTGAACGACCGAACACTCTGTATAATATCTCTGAAGTAATAATTTTCTGATAGATTCAATTTTAATACGCTATATTCTACATTTTCTTATAGAATTGTTAAATTCCATCCATGATTGCATCAATGAACACAAGATTCCCAAATCCACTACTTACTATAAAATCCAAATCATCACTCACCAATCCACCGTTGCATTTTATCGTTGGCTGTAGATTTTTCGATGATACTTTCGCATTTTGTTTTCTCCATACAATTTTACGTTCATCACTGCCAAAAATGTTACATTTGCTTTCGTCGAAAAATAATACTGTGTTTCAAAAAGAATTGTCTTTATTAACATATTGTTTGACAAAATTTAGACGTAGTACTTTATTCTTGTTATTAATGTACGGGTTTTTCCTTAGAATATGTGCATTAAAACTGTTATATCTTAATTCTACGACATAATTCAGGATGAACTTTTTGTTTTTAAAATTAACATGGAAGGTGATATATCAACAAATGACAAGAAGAGTGATACTGATTATGCAGAAAGTAGTTCTTTGATAAAAGGTGCATTCTATGATGAAGAAAAAATATTTAATTCTTCTAATAATAATAGTAGCAATAATGACAAAGAGATAAAATTTAACAATGATAATATAATACATAACAGTAAAGAATATAACAAGGAAGTGCACAATAGTGATAAGGAAGTATTTTCTTTCTCAAACAATAACATATCTATGTCGTTAAAATCTGATTCTCCAAACGAACCAGTTTTCTTTTCACCTTATATAGTTTCTAGCCGTGGAAAAAGCAATGCTAGAAAAGAACAACAATTAAAACGTGGTTTCAGTCTTGGTCACTCACCAAGTACCGATGTTCCTACAAAAGATACTGTCATGAAAAATTTAAATATATCAGTTGAAGAAGAGGCACATACTGCACAATATTTTCAATTTCTTCTAAACAGAGAAATAACCAGATTAAATGAATTATGTAAAAAATGGACAGAAATTAAAGCAAAACCTGAAACTACAGAGGATGGAAAATATGAAATAAGTCAAACTATTGGCCAAACGAATTTGTTAATAAGCAAAAAGTTTGAAAGATTTTGTGGATTAGTTGCTGATTGTGAGACAGGAAAAGGAGAAATGTTAGTTACATGTAAAGATTTGCAAGGATTTTGGGATATGATGTATATAGAAGTAAAGAAATGTGATTCACAATTTGAAAAATTAGAGACTCTTTGTTCACAAGGCTGGAAGAAAGAAGAATTACCTGTTGGCAAATCCATTGCTAAAAAGAAATCTACTGTAAAAAGAAATGTATTCACAAAATCAAGTTCTATCAAAGCGTTTTTAGCAAAAAAGAAGCAAAGGATGTCGCAAGAAATAAAACATAATTGTGATATGAAAGAAGTTGAAGTTGCAAATAATCAAATTCTGAGTAATAAATATGGAAAGGATGAAAGCTTTTATGTAAAATATAAAACAAGAAAGTCTATGTCTAGTACACCTAATCAAAAAGATTATGCACCTATGAAAGATGATAAAAGATTAAGTCCATTGCAAAAGGTACGTTTCTCTGAAACATTCAAGAAGATAAAGAGTCCATTAATCAGAATGGAAGTAAGTGAAGAGTGTAAAACACCAGAGGTACACTTGGATGATACAATATCTTATGTTAATTCTGATCAAACACCAGGGAAAAGTATATTGAAGCCATCAAAGAATGGAAGTGTAGCAGAATCTCATATGAAGTCAACAAATAAAGTTAATTTTGATGATCATATAGTTTTAAATGAAGTACCAATTGATGAAGAAACTCAGACAAAAATGGATTTGGCTGCAGCATTATCAAGAATAGATAGTTTTAACTTTGACAGTCATGGTGAAGTAATAATTAGGGCAGAAAGAAAACTTATATTTAATGATAATAGTTCTGATGAATCTGAAGAAGATATTGGACATTTTAAATCGAAAAATTCTATAACACCATCTGCAACAGTATTACCAAGATCAGAATTAGTTAAAAATCTTAGCACACCTCCACCAAGGAGAAGTTTAAGAAGACAAAATACTTTTGATAAAAGTGATGAGATTCTACATAAAACTTCACCATTAAAAGAAATTGCAGATGATACAAATTTAAACACATTAAAAAAGGAATTACAGAAACATGTTTCTATAAGCAAGAAACAAGAAATAATGGAACAGGATGAAAGTATTAGAGTTTTACGAAATAGAACTGTCACAGCAATTGGTACACCTATAGCTAAGAGGAAAGCCTTAAAAGAAATGTCTACTGCTATCCAAGAATCAGAACATAAGGAAAATAAACCTCTTTCAGGGAGAAGAAGAAAAAGTTTTATTAAAGGCAGTATTAATGAAGAGGAAAAAATGAATTTACACAGTTTGATTGATAACACTAAAAAATGAAACCACAAATGCAATTTTTTTATTCTTCATTTTCGTTTTCTTTTGGCTTCTAGATTCACCCCTTAAAATTTCTCTCGTGAACGACCGAACACTCTGTATAATATCTCTGAAGTAATAATTTTCTGATAGATTCAATTTTAATACGCTATATTCTACATTTTCTTATAGAATTGTTAAATTCCATCCATGATTGCATCAATGAACACAAGATTCCCAAATCCACTACTTACTATAAAATCCAAATCATCACTCACCAATCCACCGTTGCATTTTATCGTTGGCTGTAGATTTTTCGATGATACTTTCGCATTTTGTTTTCTCCATACAATTTTACGTTCATCACTGCCAAAAATGTTACATTTGCTTTCGTCGAAAAATAATACTGTGTTTCAAAAAGAATTGTCTTTATTAACATATTGTTTGACAAAATTTAGACGTAGTACTTTATTCTTGTTATTAATGTACGGGTTTTTCCTTAGAATATGTGCATTAATACTGTTATATCTTAATTCTACGACACAATTCAGGATGAACTTTTTGTTTTTAAAATACGTAGCATTAAACTTTCTGAGCGACCTAATAGAAGTGTAATCTAAATCGGTACCTTCTAGAAAATAACGAAACTTATTTTTATTGTTTGAAACTGTTTCGAGAACTGGAATTGATATTATAACAATTTTCAATCCGCTTTAAATAATTAGTAGATAGAGTAATTTTCACATTTGTGCAACTTTTATGCTTTTATATTAAGAAGATGAATTTTTGATTTATGTTTCAACATTATTAACATTTACTATTGTGCTATTAAAAGCGGAAAAAAATGTAGATTCTTTCTGTCATTATGTTTCATATTTCTACTTCATAAATATTAAATAGTTACAAAGTTTCTATACTGTATAACCAGTGCTTCTTAAGTTACAGAAACGGATTAAATGTTTATAAAGCGACAGTTTGTTAAATCATATCGCTACACTACATACATATATCGAAAGTCTGTTTTGAATAAAATCCAAATTGAATATTTTTAATTCCGTTATCAACGGTTAAACACAATTTATCTTTGTCCAAAACAGGAAAAACAATGCTCTGGATGCGGTTGTCGGAGACATGACATTAGAATCACTTGCTGATTATTTTAGATCTTTGCGGCGGATCTTGCGGTTCTTGTAGCAACCGCGATATCCTGCCAAATCCGTATATAAAGCTAGAGTTAGTTGCAACTACCAGTCAAACGATATTAATCGTTCCGATCTGAACACTATTTTTCATTTTACATTTCACTGTAGAGTGTAATTGCAGTTTGAGTATCGTATTTCTTACAACATCTGTAGTATAACAAGTTCAAAGAAAACATTTCTCAGCGTGAATTTGCATCACGTAAATTTTCTATTCATTTCACTTGCTACTCCCTTTTCTCATTTTTAATTAAAAAATTATCCATAAAAATGGCGGAGGATAAGTCCGGTATTTTGTATCTCTTTGATCG